GCTGCCTTCCACTTTCACATTTTTAACCACTTCCTCTCTATTTGTTAGAATCAAACCAAGAACAGCTTCTCCCCAGTAGCTTTCTGAACCTTCTGAAATAAAAAATTGTCTCCAATGCAGTCCAAGAACTTATTGGATAATCTGTGCCCCACTGTGTTGGTTTCCCAACATATATCTGGATAGCTGAAGTCCCCTAATACCACCACATTCTGCGCTTTGGATGAGTTTGTAAGTTGTTTAACTATGTATGTCTATATCCTTAAAGCTGAATACCTTGTGCATTGTTCTAGGTGTAGGTATTCCTATATTGTCTGTGCTATATACCCCATTTAGTGGAATAGATATGTGAGTCTGTATTGTTTCTTTTTGCTATTTTCTGTATAATAAAGTTAGAGGCAGAGCTTGTCCTTGGTGTGTTTTAGCTCCTTTCATATATGATATCTCAAAGACACAACAAGGATAGTGTGAACTGAGTACTTAAAAACTTCAGTTGATTACAAGACATCAACATTCATCCTCATAATTATTAAATGAAATCAACAAAGTAACAACATGATCCTGCAAAGATGTAACCAGATGCAAAACATCCCATGATGAGTACAGTTATTGACTACAAAGGGGACTACTCCCAAGATGTAAAGTTAAGCATTTACTGTACATTAAATCTTTGCAAGACTGTACTTTAAACACACGTCAGATCCCTGGAACAGTAATTCTAGCATATCTTCCAACATGTCCCCCCTTGCCATTTTCTTTTCATTACCTATTTTTTAGCTCCTCCTCTTTCTCTTCTTCATTTTGCCTCCTCTTTCTCTTTCCTTGCATTTCTCCAATATGTCCCCCTATTTTTCTGTTTTCTCACCTTTCATGTTTCTTTCCTTCCTTACCAGGAAATGTACAGTTTTCTTGCAAATGGTTAAGCTGAAATATGCTGCAGCAAACTAGAGGAACAACTCACATGAGTCACACAGGGTTTATAGGATCAGGCTTATCCTGGTATTCAAACTTTGGACAGACCTTTTATTAAACCTTCCAAAGGGTTTATTACACTTTATGATGGGAAATAAAGTGAAGCTTTGGTCTCCTGAAGCCATGATATGGTTCACAAATTTAGCAGTGAAGAGTCATGAAGTAATCTAATAGTCTTTATTCAAAGATTTGTTTGGATATAGGTGGAGGAAGAGAAGTACATACAGACGAAGAATCTAACAGTGTCATGACTTTCCTCACTTCTCATTACGTGCTGTTCAGTTTCTCATTTTGCTTCAAGGGTTTGATAGAATGGATAATGAATGATGTTCAGCCATTTATGATTTTCCTGCAATGTGACCTACATTACTAAACTTCTTAAATTAAATCTCCAAAATGGCACTTCATTTTGCATATCCTCCCTGT